GGAGCCCCACAATGCCCCAGAGGGGGAGCAATAAAAGGTAGCCCGGCGCGAGAAATACTTTCTTTGCCTTCCTCAAGCCTTCATACAGCAGGCTCTTCACGATGGGGGTGAGCCTCTCGAGAGCTTCTTTTCTTGGCGCCTTTGTTAATACCTTTCTATTTGGAACTCTAGTACAGCGCAAGAATTGCATCTAATCCCGTACGTCTCTTTTTCTGGGGTGTTATAGTAAAAGCTAACAGTTTGTGTCTCTAGTATGTCGTAGGCTCTTTTGCATGTATAGGTGGTGGGCTCTTCGGTTTAGATATCTCGTCTATGTCTGGTGTCTTGACGGTAATTAATGTCTGCCTTAGCGTGCTGTAGATGGAGTGGCTGACACTGATCCCTAGAACCCACATTATCTGCGCACATTCAACTACGTATGAACCTTTACTTGATTCTCCATTCCGGCACTGATTTTCTGCACCCGTAGCCCGATGAATCTGCACAAGGAGCCATGGTAGCGTCAATGCCCGCAGGATCCCTCGTGGGCGCATTGGCCGTCACGCAACTTGGTGATCGTTTGGGAAGGAAGAAAACTATCATGTTGGCTGCGTTGATTTGGGTTGTTGGTTCCATTCTCCAGTGTGCTTCAGTGGTATGTATTTGAACTTTCTATCCCCCGAGCTGTCCACTCACCGTGGCATCTTAGAACCGTGGCATGCTCGTTGCGGGACGTGTCGTTGGTGGTGCTTCCGTCGGTATTGTCAGTGCCGTCGTGCCCATCTACCAATCCGAAATTACGCCTCCCGCAATTCGTGGTCGTCTTGTTTCGCTGCAACAATGGTTGGCCTTTCACAATACACAGCGAACGCACGGACCGCTAACGATAATCCATTAGGTCGATCACTTGGGGTATCCTCATCCAGTACTTCATCCAATTCGGTTGCTCCGATATCGACGGTGTTGCATCATTCCGTATTCCATGGGGTTTGCAAATGATACCGGCCATTATACTCTTCCTCGGAATGTTTTTCTTCCCTGAATCTCCGCGTTGGTTGCTGGATCACGACAGGCAAATATTCTTCGCCGTCCGATGTATCCATTTCTAATCGATACCGTTCATGCAGAGAGGAAGAGGCATTGCAAATCCTCGCTGATCTTCACGGAAAGGGAGACCGTAACAATGAGCTGGTCAGGCTTGAGTTCGAAGAAATCAGGGAACAGGTGAGTACCAAGCACGTTGCTACACCACGTACAATCTTCTGACCGTCTTTGTCAGGTCCTTTTCGAGAGGAATGAAGGAGCCAAATCTTATCTCGACTTGCTCAAGGGCAATAATCCGCGCCGTGTCTTCCTCGGCATGAGTCTCCAAATGTGGTCGCAGCTCACTGGAATGAACGTCATGATGTGAGTAGCTCTTCTCCCGATAATGATGTGGTTACTCAAACGAAGATAGGTACTACATCACGTATGTCTTCCGTGGAATTGGTCTTGTCGGCAGAAGGGCCGGTTTGATTGCTGCTGTAAGTTTCACGGGTCCTGCCTTTGGCCGACCGAGAACTGAGTGGTTTCGACAGTCTGTTCAATATGTCCTCAACGTCGTCATGACCAGTACGTTTCGCTTCCCCTGGCCATGATCCTCGGAATTGACTCCTCTACCGATAGTTCCTGCCATCTTGTATATCGATAAGTGGGGTCGTAGACCTATGCTCATCGGAGGTTTGACTTGCATGGGCTTCTTCCTTTTCCTTGTCGGAGGCTTGCAAGGTCGTCTTGGACAGTGGGGAGACGTTGAAGGCGAACGTGAGTGGTACTATGTGGCAAGCACTAGTGTTGGTGGCTTACCTTGAAATAGGCATCTGGGTTATCACGGGCCATGACGATGCTACCAAGGGCATCATCGTTTTGTCGTACTTATTTGTCTGCAGGTATGTTACCATCCGAATTTGTACCGTTTGGTTATACTGACTGACATCTGTTAGTTTTGCAATGACGATGGGTCCCGTATCCTGGACTTACCCCGCAGAAATTGTAACGTTTCGCTCTTTAGCCTTCTCCATGGCCGGTGACTAACCCAGCCGTGCAGTATTCGCTCAAAGTTCGCGCCAAGGCCGTATCCCTCGCCACTGTATGTCCTCCCTGTTGCGAAGTGATTGTCTGCTTATCATGTTGTCGAACAGGCCACCAACTGGACGTTCAACTTTGCCCTTGCATGGGCTGTTCCTCCTGGTTTCGCCACTATTGCCTACAAGACTTACTTTATCTTCGGTACATTCAACTTTGCAGGGTGCATCCATGTCATCTTCATGTTCCCTGAAACTGTTGGACGAACTCTCGAAGAGGTTGAGGATATCTTTGCGGAAGGCCATACGTTCTCTGCTTGGAAGATTGGCAAGAACGTCGGTAGGAAGACTCTTAACCAGATACAACAACAGAAGAAAGTGGTAAGTGCCTCCGAGTCGATGACACTTCCGAACCGTGGACTGAGCCTTTTTCACGCAGGACGGTAGCGGTTCGGTAGATGAGAAAGTTTGAGAGGCACACATACTCATCCTATATTCCATACTTATCTCTATTTGTTTTGGTCATGTATAACACGTTCTCCCTTAGTAACGAGTTACATTATGTACTTTGAAGACGTCGGTTTGGATGCCCTGTTAGGCCAGAAATGGGATGAATCCCAAAAGCGGGCACAGCATGCGCTTAACGACACCTTTCTAATCAACCACCACCAACATCAGTCAGACTCCTTCCTCATCCCCACTCAATGGCCTACTAATCATCGAGAAACGACGCACAAAGTCCCCATAAACAAAAGGATGAAGCCGGGTTAGCCCATTGTCCCTCAGATGTGTCGTCAGTGATGGAAACGTGGAGAGTGTATGGAAACCTAAACGGTGAGCTCGGATTCTCTCATGTCCATCACAAACGATCTAGAAAAATGACAAGGTTCTCTATACTCGTTGCTAAAAGAAGTCTTTGTCGAGAAGAAGCCCTCGTCACGCCCACCCAGACAAAGGGAACGAAAGATGCCATATAAAAGACTTTGCATCTTCTTCACTTAGCAAAGAAATGTCCAGGCCCATTGCATATCCAAATACGAAAACAACCAATCCTCCTGAACGCTACTGGTCGGGGCGCCTTAACTACCATGGAGAGCAAGAACCAACAGAATTTTGCCCGTGTCACCGCTATAATCGTCTTGTGGAATACGATCTGCCGGACTGCATGCTCTTCAACCCCAAATTCCTCTCGTTTTTGGAAGACGGAGATACGTTTGATTTAAGGGAGGAGTATCCGCGGTTGTTTCGGTTGAGACATGTAGGACAGTGGGATCGGTGAAGGAGATTACGCGGATGGTGAGTACTCACAAGTCTTATGAACACAGAAACCTGATTTCTAATGATGATCGACCTAGGACAAACGGTGGTCGCCATACCCTCACACATACGTACTCGGATAGTACACAGAAAGTCGACTGTACGCCTCACGGACATGCACAATCAACATTTTTCTATCTTATCTGTCTCTGACGTGGGGTTGAACCCGTATAATGCATATTTCCTCTCAGATATGGAGAATGGACTACCTGGAATGAAGATATTTACTGCCACAGAGGACACTACGGTGAGCTTTCTACCTCTTACTAATCGAAGCTGCTAACGGTACATCGGCATAGAAAGATCATAAAACATAAAATACATAGAAGAAAACTTGAAGAAGAATGTAAACCATTCGCTATAAAACGTATCCATGAAACACTTCCTCTCGTGATACCAATGCAATGGCCTTCCTCACAGCATCATGGCAGCGAAGGGGTGGACGAGAGTCTCCACGGCGCCTCTGGGAGCGGAAGAGGACAACTCTTCGCGTGAATTCGAAGTGAGGAGAGCTCTGCAAGCAATCGGAGTCGGAACTGACGAGACGATTCCCTCGTTCGCCTTTACAAAGGCTGTGCGCCTTCGAGCCTCGGGATAGTGCCACGCCCTATAACCAGTCCTATCCATGGTCGGCTGCTCTCCCATGTACATGATGGAAGTGGACTTGTCAAAGGGATTGACAAAGATGGGTGCGTCAAGGCTCGGCGGCCAGGAAACGGCCTCGATGGTTGGTCCGAGATGCAGGTCTGTGTTGAGACTGGAGGAAGAAGAGCGCAGAGTGCTTTCGTATGCTGAGCCACTAGGTTCAACAACCTGTAATTGGATGTGGATATTTTCGCCGTCGTCTTCCCAAATGGAGCGCCTCTTGGTTTTCCACCTCTTGTCGAAAGGATTGGGAGACATAGGGAAGAATTCATTCCCAAAAATGTGTGGTGCGGTGGTAGCACTTGTCTTGAACTTCGTGTTTTCGCTACCAGATACATCATCCAAGTAGTCGTCTTCCTCTTCGACCGCGTGGGCCTCGTGAATACTCTCTTCATCAGATTTCTCCACTTGGTGCGCGAAGTCTTCAGGATACACCAACTCATCATTATCCCTGTCTTCTTCCGCTGTCGTACCGAGATGAGATTTCTCCACTAAGCCCTTCTCAACATTGGTCTGTGCCGGTTCAGCGCTGGGCTTGGCTAAAGAACGCAGCGTGTTGATAACACCAGGGAATCCGTTGAAGAAGCTTGCTATGTAGGCAATATCGTCATCTTCGATGTCCGTGTTGCTCGCATCACGTTCACGGGGGACGGTCTGAGGACATAGTTAGCGGGCTTGTGCGTGGTTCTGCCCTTAGAGAAGACTTGCCTGTTGTTCGGAGTGGCTGAAGTTGTTTGTCATCTTTTCCTAGAAGAGGCACAGGGGGTGTTGTGTAGAGGAAGGGGGAATGGCGAACCTAGGTCCTTTTTAGTGTTACATGTAAATAGTTTGTGGCCCTAGTCACTAGTGGCCGTACGCGGCCCATTGTTCTCGTGGCCTTCTCGGTAAAGAAACGGTGTGGGGCTCAATAGGGCTCATGGTCAGTATGCGGAGTATGCATACCATTAATCTGTGTACATAGTGTACAAGTTTCATTGAGGTGAAGCAAATAAAAAATGCTCAAGCGGGGAGTCGAACCCCGTTCGCGACCTTAGCTTGTAATCGAAACCTCGTGGGAAGGTCGCATCATAACCGTTAGACCACTTGAGCTGTGGCATTTATTGCGGTGTTCAAAATATGTATCGATTTCAGCACAGCTATAGACGCTTTGACCTCTGAAACAAGAGAAACCAAGACAAGAGAAGCGCTTTGACCAAAAATGCCACAAGTGATAGCCCTATAAAACGCTACTATTTCCATGCACTTCGTTCGTCATCACCAACACAGTCTAAAGCACGCTCTCGCTATCTAGCCATAAACAGTTACCAGAATGTCCACCCAGGCTTCAACCAACAACGCGACTCCCGTTACCGAGCAAACCGACGTTTGTCTCTCACCTCGCACGCTAAGGCGTATGCCCGCCATGCTACACCTCAACGTCCTGAACGCACAACAAAATGAAGAAGAGGACAACAGCGGTACAGAGGGGCCTTGCGGTCAAAATGAACGCGAAGACTGCCCACTTTCCGAGATGAGCGACGCCATGGACACCGACAGCGAACGTGCTTCTGTCTGTTCCACGTGTTACTACCACAGCAACGGTTCCGACATGTCCATCTCCTCTGTTTCGACAGGAGACCCCCGTTACGCGTACACACGCGCAGCTACCTATGAGGCATGTGGAGGAGAGAAGCTAGACGATTATGGGTACCGTGACGAGGATAGGCCTACCACCCGGTTCGGCTTTGCGAAGAAGACGTCGTATTGCGATGGTTCTTGCTATTCGCGGAAGACTTCGATGATATCGCTGAAGACGATGAGTTCGATGAGCTCATTGGGCGAGCCAGATTATATGGGAGAGGCTATGGATGTTGTTCAGGAGTGATTATATGGAGGTTTTTCGCAGGCGAAATAGGGACTCTATGATACCATTTATGATTTCTAAGATCTTAAAAGTTAATATGCGTTGAAGTTGACTCCGTTATCTTCTATATTGTAAAATCTTTTCAGTTGGTCGTTCACTATATGATAATCATGTATTTCCACCTATTCTGTTCCTGTACTCAATGATGAGTATGCGCAAATGAGACCTATATCAAACAAGACACACCTAATACGCGGTAGTATATGATGGGTATGCACGCCATGCCAGACGTAAGAAATCATATACTTCACGCTCGTACGCTTCAGAGCTTTACTGGCTCATCAATGGTCTCCGACACCTTGCCAAAGCAGTCTGAGTGTCCAATTAAAAGCGCCCGAAGTTGCCTCTGACATGAATTATTTCGGGAAGAGACACGGCCACGTCGTAGCGACAAGGGGAACGCTCGTACGCCGCGTCATTGACGAGCTGTGCCCCGCGTGATGTATACACGAAAAGATATTCCTGGAATGACTTGGGTCGAGAGATAAGCTGGACGACGGTCACAGTCGAGAAACTGCTCCTTCTGCCAAAGAGCGACGAGGTAGTTGTGAATTGACTGGGGTAAGCGAATCCGAGTGAGCCTTGAGGTAGATAAGCGTCTACGCCGTTGATTTCGAGTATTAGCCGGGTCTTATTCTTGGATCTATCAATGAGGATGGTTTTAACACTACTAGGTTTGGAGCAGAGTGCTTACAGACTGTCGGATGTCACTATCCAAGCAGGATTTCACCTGACCACATCTTCGCCACCATGCCCTCTTCGTTTTCAAAGGTCGAATATGTGTTGATATATCTACCGTCAAGCGATGCTAGTTTGCCAATCCTGACCAGTATGTTTTGATCAAGGCAAAGATCCGTGGATGGCAAATGAAAGAGCGAACCTGTTTATAAGTACTTTGAGTCAATCGTTGACACTAGAGCCCGAACGACCCGAAATGAGTCTGAATATTTTCGATATTACTCGCCATATTCAAGATTGTACTGGGACAGTGACCCTCAACGCCAATGCCGCTGCGATGCATGACGGTGAAAGAAAAACCCGGGTATGGGATACGTTTCTCACGGCCGTCAAGTGGCCATGGAAGAACTGGTCCCGAGTACTTTACCCAACCCCCCACACTAAGCTCACTTCTGGCTTCACAACTTCAAGGGCTCGAAGCTACTTTTCTGCCAAATAGCGAATAACAAGATGCTCAAATATACCCAGAAGACCGATGACAGGTACCGGTTAACTGTCATTTTCCCTTACTTTGCCGTACCTCACACCATCAGGTTCCCTTCCCAGCAACCTCTCAGGAAGGAATTCTCGACCCCCGAAATCAGCAGCTAAGTACACTCAATCAGAAGGCTGTACCGGAAACTTTTGGAGCCGAATTACCAGTAATGTTTGGCCATCATACGAGCTGTCATCTGGATATTGACCACTGTTAATTCAGTCGCTCGTTTGGGAACTTATCCTCCTCCCACCACATGTCGCAAGGTGAAAAAGCCCCAAGGATAGTTATCGTCGGCGCTGGGTACGTCTCGATGTCTTAAACTAGTCTATTCAACACTGAGATTGGCAACAGTATCGGAGGCCTTGCGTTCGCGATTGCCTTGCGCAGGAAGTTCCCAGGTTTCAACAATTTTGTGATATACGAGAAAGCTGGAGATATTGGAGGAACGTGGAGGGTGAGTTGATATGTGAATCGTACTCCCGACCAATACTCATTGTGGCTGCAGGATAACACGTATCCGGTCCGTCTTCAATAAGATTCGTATCCAGTGTTGTTCTTATCTTTACCCCCTCAGGGCTGCTCTTCCGATATCCCTGTTCACTTCTATTCTCTGTCGACCGACCTCAACCCGAACTGGGATCGCACGCATGCGGGCCAACCTGAAATGAACGAATACCTACGGGCTTTGGCCGTCAAGTACAGGCTCTTACCGCACATCGTATTCAATACCCTCGTGACATCTGCTACATGGGACCCTGCCGAAAACAAGTATCATATCACGACAAAAACGGTAGCTCCAGGCGAGGATAGACCGTGGTGGCGAAAGGAAGACCTTACTGGTGTGAAGGAAGTGTCCTCGGATGAGAATGGAGGAAGGGATGTCGCGCACATCTTTATTTCTGCAATAGGGTTCTTGGAGCTCATTCGATACCCGGACATAACCGGGCTGAACAGCTTCAAGGGTCATATGTTCCATTCTGGATCATGGAATCACAACGTTGATTTGCAGGGGAAGAGAGTCGCAGTCATAGGCAATGGTTCTTCAGCGTGAGTCAAGATTATGCGCGACCAAGAGTTTTGCTTACGGTAAATGTACAGAATACAACTAATCCCAGTGATTTCGAAGGACCCTTCGGTGAATGTCACAAACTTTTGTCGAACCCCCAATTGGTTCTTTCCTCCGGTAAGTTCTATCGTACTGAGTCAGACATCTACTAAATACCACTCCTTGCCAGATTCGTCACAATTACTTCCAGTTTCAGGTTTGGATGTGCAAGTATCTCCCGTTTTACATGCGGGTATATCGGTGGTGGAACTTTTGGAAGGTGAGAATGGATTTGAATTCACCTGTATATGTATGGCTCACCGACGAACAACAGCTAGAACTCTTATATGCACTTGTGTTTGCAAATGCAAACGTGCGAGGCTTCACTGCTAGTGTGAGTGTGAGTCATGGTTCGCTTCATAAACCATCCTAAGCGTTGTTATAGGTGTTGAGGGCATGGGTACGATACGCTGCTCCGGAGAAGTATCACAATAATCTGATACCCAGCTATCGTATGTCCTGAAGCTGTTTCGTGTTGATGCGTTCTGTGACGGCGATATCCATTAGCTTCTGGCTGCAAGAGGCTCGTTCTCGACGCAGGATACCTGAGCTGTCTACATCGACCCAATGTGGATCTAAACTGGGATGGGGTAGATGGGATATCAGAACAAGGGATAATCACAAAGAAAGGTCTGTAACCTGGTTTGTGCCTGGTCGTCATTACTTAAAGCAGTACTTTTCAGGTGACCAGTTGCCGTTCGATGTGATTGTCCTCGCTACTGGATATATCTCGGTATGCCGCCTTTACAGTTTGGTCGTATATAGCGTTCATTGAACGCCTCCTTTTCTAGGACGAATACCCGCTACCCGTGACAGGAACTCATGAGACGATACAAGAGTATTTCAACAGGAAGGAGGGGCTTACCGCATATCTGGGCACTGCGGTACCTGGCTTCCCGAATTTCTATATGATATCTGGTACTTATATGTCTTTCATCCTTGGGGATATACCTTATGCATGTTTATAGGGCCTAATACCACAACTAATCATACTTCTGTCATTTTTACAACAGAAATGCAGGTCAGTACAGTTCATTCCTTCGCTTGACGCCTAGCGATGACGTCCTCTTAGGTCGAGTACATGCTCAATCTCATCAAGCCGGTTCTTTCTGGAGAGATCGCCTCCGCCGAGGTGACAAACACCGCTACCGACCAGTACAACGACAAGATACAATCCCGCATCAAGGATTCTGTCTTTGTCCGGTGCAGGTCCTGGTACCGCAGAAATCGCGATGCAAAGGTTACAGTCGTTTTCCCTGGTCCAGCACTTCTGTTTTGGTGGTGGCTGAGAAAGGTTGACTGGAGTCATTATCGTGTTTCGCCCGTGGATTCCGAGACATGGAAACGGAAGATGCAAACCCGAAAAGCGACCGGTACGGTGCTGGTTGCGACCTGCTTAGGTGTTATTGCGGCATTTTTTGGGTTCAGAGATTTGGTATGTGCTCGTATCTCGGTTGGTAATGGCTTTCTACTGACTTCTTGTCATTTAAGCGAACGCTGAAGACCTGGTAAAGTGAAGCGGTATGTTTCATCCCATATTCCACTGCGGAATGCTGATTTGCCTTCCGTAATAGCATTCTAGACTCGACACCTGACCAACACCAGTGGGGTACGAGGTGTAGAAGGGGACGTGTTAAGGCCTTGGCAAGAGGATGTGAATGATAGCCATCGCTCGGGGCAGCATCCTATCATGACAAACTATCGATGCCTAAGGAAGTTGTACTCCTCAAAGCTTTCATAATGGATCATTCTTCCCCAAATTTTGACGTGTGTATTCAGGTGGCTGGAACCTAAAATTTGTAGGGGTTCGCTTGCAACGAAGCGTCACATTAGGCAAACCTAGGGAAGCTCGGGTCATGCGGCGA